TACCCTACAGTACTTCCTTTCCTGTTGTTGGCCAGGGGAGTGTAAAGAGACTCCCAAAACAATATAAGCTATTGTTGTTGCCTTTGTCCCCCAGAAGTTGAAGATAAATCCCTAGTGTTGATGACACCTTGCTCTGTGTTTGAGCTGAACCTGACCTGAAGCTTCCCTGGGGACTAGCTTTCATAGTAATGAAGGGTGCTATGTAAGCTGCTAAAAGAGGGAAGCAGTCAATAGTGAGGCCTATGACCAAAACATGAGCAGCATTGTTAAGATATCTATAAATGTACAATAGTGACACTTAAACTCTGGTGGCAACCAACTGCTAATTGGACTTACAATCCTGCTCAACAGTTGTCTGGTTATGTAAACCCAGCCAACTATTTGTTGCTAATGAGGTCATGGCTCTTTAAGGAGAACCTATTGGTGCCATATCTGGTGACAGTAATTAACTGCTAACTGCATTCTAAAGATTCTTAAATATTTGTCCTTATGCCCACAGATAAATAAAGTTCTCACCCCTCATCAAAAAAGGTATACTTTGCAAAAGACAGAGACAATTGCAGAAAACTACGACTGGCTGAAATGCAGAGAACAACTGATTGTAGGAAACCCAACCCAAATTAATACATCTACCACGCAACTCCCAATTCTCAAGTTCATGGAGGGATGCATATATTTCAAGAGCCAGAGGACTGGTAAGTTTTCTGTGAGATGTGTCTACTAGAAGTGACAGGGAAGCTATACCCATGAAACCTCAAAGATATGGCAAAATGGATCCAAATAATGACCACACCAATGGGCATGCTTACTTTGAAGGGGAAAATATATGGGACCCCATCCCTAGATAAAGAACTACAGGCAACTAATGAATGCTAAAAAAGGGAGAAATAGTCTTCCTCTAGGAATGAGTCTCTAAATTTGTTATCCACAAGGAGTCAACCCTGAAAATCATATGTATACAAGTAACATTAAATAGACTCAGAAGATTGTATTTATATATTTATGTATGTTCACATATATATATGTATATGTATATGAAATAATAACAAAAAGGGGCCATGAATTTGAAAGAGAGTTTAGGGGTAGACATGGGAGGGACTAGAGAGACAGGAGGAGGAAATGATATAATTATATTTTAGATTTTTAAAAATTGCAAAAAAAAAAGAAAAGAAAAAAGCATGTCAGAGAGATGCAGCTCATCTCACACACCTTATCTCTTGCATCATCTCTTGTCTTCCTTAGGGGTGATTCTATCATGGAGCTAAATAGTTCTTATACGCCTATATATTTAGAACTTGTGTAATTACTGACGTCTATAAGCACACAGTTTTGTTGCGCGTGAACTTTACATAGTGGGAACTAAGCAGGAAAAATTAGACAAAAGTTAGACCAATATAACTCAAGCAATTTCAATGATTAAAGTGCCTCTTTTCTTTCTGTCCCTCCCACCTCCCTCCCCTCCTTTATTTTCCTCTGTTCATCCATACCTTTCCTCCCATTCTCAGTTTCTTGCTGTCTAACTCTTTGCTTAAGAGATGTGAAAATAGTTGTGTGTTTATTCACCTGTTTTCTTTATTGCTATCCTCTTGCCTAAAAGATCTCTTGTGCCAATGGAATACTTCTGTGCCAAATTCCTGTGACCTAAGAAAAGGCACTGGCAGCAACGCAGAGGTTTGCTGAAGTGTTTGCATATGATCAATATCCTGGTGTGTACTCACGAGGGACTGGCTGGCTTTGGACAGGATCCTGATGCATTTTCCCAGGGATCAGGTGTCCATCTTGACTGTGTCTTGAGAGCATGTTGGAATCAGGAAAAGTGTGAACCTCAGTCTCTGCAAGGCTCAGAGCATCTAATGGAGATAGTGCCTACAGAAAGCAGATGTGCTCTACTGTGGCTGCTTACCATGGGCATAGTAATTTGGACATGGGGTCATAGCTATTGAGTATGTTCTTATTTATGTTTGAGGTGAGCACGGACGTATCTTTGATCTATTGTAAAATAGCCCATTGAGCATCATGTGGCAGGTGATGAGGTCAAGGTCAGTGCTTGGCTTTGTTGAGCTGTGTCACTGTTCTCATTCCATCTGTGTAGAGGAGTCAGGTCACTATGGAGAAGCAGATGTCCAGAACATAGGGTTTGCTGACCTATTTTGGCAGTTGAAAGTGCCACTTTATTGCTGAAATGCATGGTGATGTGAGGGCAGCAGAGTGTGAATTATGTCTGTTTTCAGCCCTCTTTCTTCCACACTTTACTGCTTCTTTTGCTGCTGTAACAGCAATGGTGAAGAAAGTGTTAATATTTGTCCTTCCCATGGGACAGATTGGGAGCAATAGAGGTATAGCAATCTGAAACATATTAGAAGATACTTTCTAAAGCAATTTCAGGTTATTCTTAAAGATACTCATTAGCAAATTCATTGGTATACATTTCTATATGGTTTCTTTTGCTGCTGTTACTAAGAAAAATTTCTAGCAATAAGTATACAATGATGTTTAAAAAGAAATCCTTTTACTATTACCAAACCAAAGTCAAAGAAATGTTCTCCTTCACCTGAAGCTTCTTTATTCCCTTTAGTATGTTCCACCCTAGAGTAACGTGGCTTCAAACAGACAGTTCCTTAACTTCCAAGGATTTTGTGCTCTGGAGTGTGTGCCTGTGTGTGTATTTATATATCTGTATACAATTAATGGGAGTTTTATACATGTATACAATAAAAGATGATTATGTATAATCCCCAAGTTCCTTTTCCAACTTCTATCATGTTCCGCAGCATGCCCCTTCATGTCTGTTTTTATTAACTCTTTCAGCCCAATTGTTGCTTCCCATAGGAATCCTACAAGTAAAAACAACCCCAAAACAATGATTCTCCCTCTCCATGCAGCTGTCAGCTGTCAATAGCTTTTCTTCTTTAAGGGATGAATCCAGAAGAGTACTGTTCTCTGAGTTGGGCTTGATCTTATGCAGGTTCACACAGCTTCTGTCAATTCCTGACTGGTCACCATGTCATGTCCAAAAGACAGCATCTTTGAGCAGTGGCAGCAGTCAATGTGGAGATGGAAGGTTCGTTAGAGAGCCGAGAGTAAGAGACTATGTGTGATTTTCAGAGAATGGTAAGATGCAGTTTGAGTGAGTAAAATACATTAACCAATGATGATGGTCTTGGTGAGAACAGTAAGAGATATTTACCATAGTGCATACTTGCATATAGTCAGCTTCTCTGGCAGTTTGTCTCTGTGTGTGTGTGTGTGTGTGTGTGTGTGTTCTCTCTCTCACTCTCTTTGTATGTGTATGTGTTCTCCCCACCTCCCCCCCATGTGTGTAATAACAGTTAACAAAAAAAAAGCAGGTCATGAATTTTAAAGATGGCAAATAGGGGTATAGAGAAGGTTTGGAGGTAGGAAATGGAATGGAGAAATATTTTAGCTATATTGCAACTTCAAATATAAAAGAAAAAATGAAAATTAATAACAGTGAATTAACTTAAGACACTAAAAGGTACAAAAATAAACAAAGCAGGCTGGAGAAGGAAGAAGTCAGTGCAGCCCCATCAGCAGCTGGCTGCAGCTGTTCTGAAGGACTGTGGCCACACTCCTATGAGTGGGTCTGGGGTCCAGCCGGTGGCCTGAAGGTGTGGCGCCATGAAGCTGTACAGCCTCAGCATCCTTTACAAAAACAAGCCCAAAGTGGTGCTGCTCAAAGCCACATACGATGTGTCTTCCTTCAGTTTCTTCCAGAGGTTCAGTGTTCAGGAATTCATGACTCTTACAAGTCAACTGATTGTAGAACTATCGACAGGCAAAAGGCAGCAGAGCCTCTGTCAAGGAACAATCTTTGCCATGTCTACATCCAGAGTGACAGTCTTGCAGCTATGGTCATTGATGACAGTGAATACCCTTCCAAAGTGGCCTTTACCTTGCTGGAGGAGGTACTAGATGAATTCGCTGAACAGATGGATAGGATAGACTGGCCAGTAGGATCACCAGCTACAGTCCAGTACATAGCCCTGGATGGTCACCTTAGCAGATAACCAGAACCCATGAGAAGCTGATCCCATGAGTAAAGTACAAGCCAAACTGGACAAAACCAAAATCATTCTGCATCCCACCATGGACTCTTTGTTAGAGCGAGGTGAGAAGCTTGATGACTTGGTGTCCAAATCAGAAGAACTGGGAACACAGTCAAAAGCCTTCTATAAAACAAAACTCATGCTGTGCAATCATGTGATGTAGCCCCCAGAGGCAGGTGCTGGATGGTCATGTCACATCAGAACCACAGCCCCTGGAGATGAAGCGATACCCTAGAAGATCTGCAGCCAGGCAGACTGGCTGTTTTTATTTTGAAGTTCTCAAGAGGAATGGAGGGATGATTTAAGGGTGGGAACATTGACATTCATATGTGTGGTTGTGACTTTGGGAAAGAATTTGACGTCTTCAAAGATGTAATGTTGGGAAAATGAAACCATAAACAAATTGGCTCTTATAGGTGCTGAAGGGCTTATTCTCAGCTAACCCTGGAAGGCTCTGTGAGTGGGAATCTTTCCAGATCCTTGGTATGGCTCACAATTTCATTTGTGCATTAATGATATTAACTCTCCTGTGAATGGGGTGGGGGAGGGAGGTCTCTAGTGATAAGGCTGAGTTAGGCAAAGTTTGAACACTCCAGAATTCTACTGTCTTGCACTGTGGGGATTGGGGGAAGCTCACCATGACTATCGTCAGGACTGTAAAAGGCAGTGGTCACTGGGTCTCTGTTTTGGCTTGCCTGTCTGCTAGAATTGGCATCTGCCAGGGACAGGGCTCACCCTAAATATCTTCATCCAGAATCACAAAGATGACTTGTGAGAGATACATAGAATGGGCTGAGAAGGGCAAGATTTGTAAGTTGTGTTTTTTTTTTTTTTCAGCCAGCAGACTGTTTAGACTGGGGCTGTTCTAGTGTTGGGAGGGTCAGCTGGGAATGTCCATCTTCAGGGGCAGAAGCAGATACAGGTGCTCTCAGCTGTCCAGTGTGGAGGCACACTCACCTTGACTTGCAGGCAGACTTTGGACATCAAGATAAAGTAGTGGGTGCTGTCATCTCTCAAAGCTGGTTTTATTTGTCTCTGTGTCTACAAGGCTGTCTTGGCAACTGCTTAGGGCCTGCGTGTTTGAACAAGTCATTCCTGTGGGTACCAGGAGAGGTTCCAGCAGCCTGAAGATTCCCAGCACCCACTTGTGATCTGTCCAGTTCTGGCCTACAATTCCTTTTCCAGTCAGAGACAGCTGCAGGGTAGGGCATGTAGAAGTGTTGGTCTGAGCTAGCAGCCACTGCCAGCACACTCTGTGTGGTGAGCCCATGATGTGCTGAGTCCCACGTTGCCTCTTCATGTGGGACCTTTCTCCCCAGAAGCAACTTCTGGGATGCTAGCCTTTATGAGTTTTGAACCAGAGTTGTCCTAACTCTGATGGTCCCTGCCCTGAGTCTGTTGAGCTACCCCCAGAGTGCCCATATAGGGAGGGGAATGTCTACTGTGGCGTCCAGAATCCTTACTTATTGGTATTTCTGTCTATTTCTCTGGGTCCTGCCAGCCAAAGAGCTCAGGCTCCCACTGGAGTGGCGTGCCCTTATAATTTTCCTGCTGCCACAGACCTCTCTATCCCAGGGCCCCTGAACAGCATGGATCCAGTCTGTTGCTGGCACTTGAGGTGGAATAAAGGACCTGGAGTGCTTCCTGTTTTTCTTCTTGCTCTGGAGGGTGTTGGGGAAGAAAGGGGGTGGGTGGAGGTAGACATTTGTGGGAAAGAGATAACCTTCACCCAGTCACAGCTGTCCTACAGGATACCACTCACCCTGCAATGGATTGAGTTGCCATGTGTTTCCCATCCCCCTCCATTATATTCTAATGTTAAATCATTTGACAAAAAGTGTATTTTTAATAATGCCTAATTTCTCTGTTCTGTTTGAAGGTTTCTGTCTGGATAAAATTGTCTTTTGAAATCCACCCCCACCCCAAAAGAAAGCAAGCTGGGAAAGCCCTGAGGAGCAACACTCTTCCATGTTCTCTGTTTCAGTTCCTGCCTCCAGGTTCCTGCTCTGACTTCCCTAGATGATGGACTACAAGCTGTAAAAAGAAGTAAACCCTTTTCCCTGAAGTCGCTTTTGGTCATGGTATTTTATCACAGCAGTGCATACCCTGAGATTTTAGGTATGTAATTTTTCCCATGGATCAGGCCACAAATCCAATCAGAAAATAATTGGTTACTTCCAAAGCAATCTTGGCAGTATTGCACAAGTAGGAGTGTCTTGCCTTTTAGGGTGATTTTATAGTACTCAGGATCCAGAGCTGGGGGAGACCAATAATGTCTTTTATCCCACAGTCTGCATGGAACCTTCCAGCACTGTGAACAGCAGCCAGCAGAGTAGAAGCTTTCAGCTTAGTTCTAGCTTGATTTATTTATATGCTACATCCAAAGTCTGGTTTCTTCAGTAATTTATTCTTACCATCTACTTTCAGTGGGTGGCCTACCAATGGAAGTACCCTCCAGTCTTTTGGGAGCCTCTTGCCAACAACTAAGAAGGAAATAGCCAACAAGTGGTATTGAGAGTTTTCTTTTAAAACTATGTCTTTTGGGAGCAGTATTATCCATTCATTTAGAGTACCTTCATTAAAAATTTTAGCTCTAGTTAGACTTAAGTCCTACTTATTAGGAGGGATATCATGCGTGGTACTGAAAACCCAACTAGCTACCCAGGGCTAGTGAAATGATGCATCTTAGAGGAGAACCAACAACCATCACTTTACTAAGTCATCATAATACCTAACTATACTTTAAGTCCTTATAATCACAGGTAAGTGTAGTCTTGTCACTCACCATCAATTTTGTTTCTCTTTGCAACAGACATGAACTATTACAGAAAACAACAACCCATCAAACTGCAGAGTTGTGGAGCCCAGTCTCAGTGGATACATCTCCAGAATAACTAACTGCATCTAAATATTCTAAGACCGAGAGGATGAGGGAACAAGCTGTAAGAATGTGTATCTTAGTAATGTTGGAAGTCACCCATAATGTGTCAGCAAGGTGATTGCCCAAACATGAGCAGAACAAGGAGAACTATTTAATACACATGCCTAATTGGACAGGGGGAAAGACACTAGGGCTCAGTGTTAAACAAGAACAATAGGAAACTGGGAGCTGTATAAATAGTCTTCCCCAGAGAAAAGCACACCAACCATTTATCTAGACCCAGATACTCAGTCCTGGAGACATATAAAAGTAACATGATCAAGACTAAGCAGCATTTATTTAGACATATATATGTATATACACAAACACATGTACATATTCTTGAAAAAAACAAGTAATGAAATAAGACATTAATTTTAAAAAAAGAGCAAGGATGGGTATATGTAAGTCTTTGGAAGGAGGAAAGGAAAGGGAGGAATTTGTAATTACAATCGCAAAGAAGAAAACAAATCATTTAGCTACCTACTAAAGTTAGTGACTTTCTGCATGTGTGTTGCCTATGTCCTCAGGATTGACTGACCCTGTTCCAGCACCACATTGCTCCTAGCACCTTCCCATTTAAGCCTTTCTAGTCCTAGTATTCCCCCACCTCCACTTTCATGCCACATGCATTTTATTTCCCTCCCCTCAAGACCTCCTCTCATGGCTCCTTGCTTACTCCCTGACTTAACTGAATCCAACTCCTATTTAAACACAGAAATTTAAAAAAATGAAGCCAGGGACCACATGGGAGAGGACATGTGGATTCTGTGGCCATTTTGACAAAGATGCACCTAACATACATTGGAAAACTGGCAGTCATCCTCACTGACACACAGTCCTGGGGAAACTAGTCATACATATGTGTATAGGAGACTAAAGCTGGATCCCTAGCTCTTATCCTGAGAAAAGTCTGTTCTAAATGGATCAAAGACCTTCCTTCATATGAGACCTGAAATTCTGACCATGTCAGAGGAAAATACCAGGAATGGCCAAAAACTTGCTGAAAATGTTCACTAGTAGCTCAGGAAATAGTCTCCATATTTGTAGGATGGGATTATGAGGAATTAACAACTTTCTCCTCAGCAAAAGCAATCAAATTGCCAAAGAGACGAGACAGAGTTATGCATGGGTGAAATATTTGCTACATATCCATTAGACAGAAAATTAATGAATATATAGATAATTCCAACAACTGCAAAAGGAGCAAAGAACTCAGACCTCAGACACTAAACCAAACACATCTCACGCATACTACATGACATGCACATGAACAAGAGGAAGGCTGTGGTATGGTAGAATAAGGAGACTAGTAGGTAGGAAGAATGTACCTGAGGAGAAAGGGGAATGTTTGAGGCAGGAAAGTGGTTCTGATACATTTTAGATTTGAGCACACAGGGTATTAGATTCATTACTATTTGCAACGTTCCTACACCATTTCAAGAGGGGCGAATTGGTCTGGCCCACCTCCTGAGGCCATGTAGGTGTCCAACAGTCATGCTGCAGCTGGGCCTTGCAGACCTTGTGACCTCTGGGCATGGACTAGTGCAGGGAGCCATGTCTAGATCTATGTTAGCATCCATGGCCCATGTTGTTCCCAAAGGTGGAACAGATGCCAAGGTCTGGGCAGACACCTGTAGTCATGTTGTTGCCTGAGTTCCAGTTGCCGCCTGAGCCATGCTGATCTGGGTGGCCTAAACTACCAAACGGAGCTATGGTGACATCTGGGCCTGAACCGTTGACAGGGGCCACATGTGAGTTCATAGCCCTACAGCAGCCAGGGTATGTATTGATGGCCAAGGATGACTTCAGTTGCCACTGAAGTCCATGCGGAAGCCTGAGCTCCTGGCCACCACATGGGTTCATGATGGTATCTGAGGACCGTGCGACAGATGGGGCCTTACAGATCTGAGAGGGCTGCCCAGCTACCCTGGTGACATCCGGGTCAGAACTGTAGCTGAGGGCCATATCTGGGTCCATGGTCCTGCCGCAGCTGTGGTCGGTGTTGGTATCTGTGGCTCCTGTAACCATCAAAGGCCATGTAGACACCAGGAGTCTGGACCACGATCTGGAGCCTTGTTGGTGTCGGTCAGAGGGTCACACTGCAGCCAGGGCCATGCTGACCTGAGTGGCCTGTGCTGCCACTGGGGACATGGTGACATCCCAGCCTGGCTCCTGCCAAGGACCATGTCTGGGTCTGTATTCCTAAACACAGGTGGGGTCTGTGTTAAAACCCTAGTCTGGGTCGCCACCAAAGGCCACACAGATACGTGCCACAAACAGTCACCTGCTTGGTGTATGTGTGCTGTGCCACTGTAAGAGCCAAGCTAATCTGCGTGGCCTGTGCTGGCACTCAGGGCAATGGTGTCATCCATGTCCAAGATGCTGCACAGGGTCATGTCTGGGACCAAGGTCTTTCTGCATCTGGAGCCTATGGTGACATCTGTGGCCTATGTTACCACATGAAAGGTGAAATAAAAGGCCAGGCTGAGCCGGCCCTGTCCTTCGCTGGCCCTGCCCCTCGCTGAGCAATAGAGCTGGCCCCAATGGCCTGGGCACAGGAGAGCTGGCCCATGCATTTGGGAGAGAGAGCTCCAGCCCTCATTACAGATGTGAACCAGCCAGCCCTGATAGCATGGGCACAGGACAGCTGGCTCTGCCCTGGAACCTGAGTGGGGCAGCCCCAGTGGCCAGGCCTGAACAGCTCAACTACCACCCAGGCCTACCTACATCCAGGCCTGGAGTTGGCCCACCTTAGCAAATAGCCCCATCTATGACCTGCTAGAGCATGTGAAGGGACTGGTCCTGTGGAACGTTAATCACAGGACCTTCATGACTCAGGAGCCCTCCTGATAACCTAGAGGAGTTTCAGAGAGGGTCTAGTGATAAGTGTGTACCAGAAACCAGGGGCCTTGAACCAGACCAATGACTCATTGCAATGACCCTTTGCAGGTAAAGCTGATGGGACAAAAGGATGTACTGAGTGACACACTGTGCCTCCCAGTGCCACTAAGAGAAATGAAGAGGTTCTGGAGAGCAGGAATTATGGAGGAGCAAAGTAGTTTTCTATTAATTAATTTTACATCCAGACCTCAGTTTCCCCTCCCTGTCCTCCCAGTTTCTCCCCACCCCCACGAGCGCCCCTCTGCCTCTACCCAAACACTCCTGCTTCTTTTGTGTTCAGGGAAAGGGTATCAACAAAACCTTGCATATCAAAGTGTAGTAAGAGTTAGCACTTTGCCTTGGATTATGACTGTGCAAGGCAACAGTCAGAAACAGGCTCTGCTCTCACTGCTAAGAGTCACCCAAGAAGATGATGCTATTCGATTGTCACATACATACACGCAGAAGGCCTCGTTCAGTCCCATGCGGGCACCCTGGTAGAGATTTCCATCACTGTGAGCCCCTTGGTCCCAGGGTAGTTGACTCTGTGGGTTCTCTTATGATGTCCTTGACCTCTGTGGCTCCTAAGATCCTTCCTGTCTTCAGCAGGATGCTCAGAGCTCGGCCTAATGGTTGGATATGGGACTCTGCATCTGTTTCCATCACTTGCTGGAGTCACCAGTCTATGAGTATCATTAAGCATCAATACACTGACATTTTCCCCTCCATTTGTGTTTGTGCTATCCCAGGTCTCCGATGCATCCAGCCCCTGGGTGCCGGTGCTCTGGGCACTGTCAAGGATGTGCTCGCGTCTGTGGCATTGCTTGTGTGTGTGTTTTCTTTGGGTTTGGTTTGGTTGTTTGTTTGTTTACGTTTACTTCTGGGGATACTAAAAGGGTGAAGGGTGGGTGTGGAGAGACTGGGAAATGGGTGGGATTGGGGTGGATGGTATGAAATCCCCAAAGAATCAACAAGGAAATTATATGTAAAAGGAAAACCAACCAACAAACTCTGGGAGTAAAACCCAACTTGACCCCAGGAGGTACATTGTAAATAACATATGAGACAGTGGGTGAATAGGAGCTAGAGGCACGGGCACAGAAGTTAAGGG